CTGAAGTCTGGCCTTTTCACTAATGGTTTCAAAAACACAAAGTTTGTTTTCTCAGTCATCCAGGTATATAACAACAAAAAAGTTTTTTTTGTTGTTATATACCTGGATGACTGAGAAAACAAACTTTGTGTTTTTGAAACCAGTACGAGCCAATGTTTTCTCCAAATGTTGTGGTTTAAATTTAAAAATGTAGGAACACCACCTGGCAGAGCTCAAACAGGACAATATAATTGCACCAAGGCCTAGTGAAAACAAGGGATAGGAGGACGACCTGAAGAAGTGGCCACAGATGACATATAGCATTTTTAGCAATTTTATAGACTCAGTTCTTACGATGGTGAAGCGATGAACAACATGAAAAGCTCTGAGGGTTAGCATTGTGGCTCCCTTGTTTGGTCTGTTTTCCTGTCTTCATGTTTTTCCTGTCATGTAATTACCTGCTGTCGCTCCCAGGTGTTTGTCCTTGTCTGTAATTAGTGTGCGTGTATCTACGTTTTCTCGTCGGCTGGTCATTGTCTGGTGTTCCTTCGATGTCAAGCCCTGTTCCTTTTGTTTCCTACGTGACTCCTGTACAAGTGAGATTTTGCTGCCATGTAAGCGGTTTTTTTTTTGTTGTTGCTTTTTTAAAATTTATTTTACTCGTCCAAGTTCTCTGTGGTCCACTTGCACCAGTGGGTTTGACTTTAAAAACCACCCATCACAACACTGAGGCGTATCAGTATCTATGCAGTATTAAGGTCTGTTGAGTTTTGTTAAAACAGATGGGACACAGTCTTATTTACCTTAAAGCAGACACAGAGCCTGGCCAAAGCCCTAAAGTCCTCCATCACTGAGCTTGGGTAAATAATAGAGAAAATCATAATACCAAAAACAAACTAATAAAAATAATGCTATACATTCCATATACTTGATATCTTACCTGATATTCTCGTCACCCTGCTTTCAATCCTTCTGAGGATCTGGCATCTTTGGTGGTTTATTTTAGTCCAGCCACAAAGTAGGATGCAGGTTTTCCTTTGTTGGCTGTTTGTCAACAAAGTGAAAAGAACACACAAACAGCATTTTGGGTGGTTTCTTCAAGTTCAGATGTTTCAGTCACATTCTTCTTAATTCCTCATCTGTAGGTAGGAGATGGAAATTAGAGTAGTCCCTCATTTATCACGGTGGATCTGTACCTTTAATCCCTGCGATAAGTGAAAAACCTTTAAGTAGGAATAGTAGTAAAAATAGTAAGTAGTATTTTTTATTATATATATATATATATATATATATATATATATATATATATATATATTAAAAGAGCACAGAATGTCATGATTTCAGCTCCCTGCCTCCACTGCTCTCAGCAACCTGCGAGCGCTCTTGGCCACGCCCACTTCTATGCTCTGCACGGTGAACAGCTGATCTTCTGCAGCACCTGCAGTATGGGTTGCACAAAGGTGCAGCAGGTGCTAAATAATTTTAAATAATTTATTTTAAATACAAATTCCATGTCGATTGTGCGGCTCATTCATCAATCAGCCAACTCTGTGTCGTGTCCAATCTTTTTTTTGAAAAACCACGATAGAGCGAGTCCGCGATAAACGAACCGCAAAGTAGCGAGGGACTACTGTATACCGCTTTTCACAGGAACACTTTTTTTGTTTGTTTTGGGCCCGTATTCAAAACACGATTGTAGTAGTCATATGTAGTTTGGTCCGGTTGTTTGTGCAGCCGTGAACACAACAGGTACCTGAACTCTGAAAGGCTGTTTTAGTAAACTTTATGGTTATTAAATAAATGTGAAAAAACAGTGTTTTATCTGCTAAACTGAATTTATATTACTTTCAAATAAATTGTGGTTTGTGCTTGGCTACCATGGTCAACCAAAGCTTACTGCTACATCTGGTGTCTGACAAGAAGTTGTATCCATAATCATTTAGACAGTAGAGCGCTCAGGAATAAGGTGGATAATCTTCACACAGACACATTCAGAAAACCCTGTAAATATCTGTAGTAGAGGAAACTGTCCACAAAAATGAGGTATTTCCTGTAGAATTGGTTTGCTATACTGGCTCCCTCCTTAAGTACATTTTATGACCACTGAGGGTGGTGAGTGGATTAGCCATTTATTTACAGACCACTTGTGGAAAGATACATTCCTAAGGATGTATTATTTCCCTGATCATAGTTAAATGAGCTCTTCATGTAACATAATGAACTGTAATTTATTCATTTTACCAAGCAGGAAAAGATGAACACACAACGTTCGTGTCCTAATCAGATACAATGTAATTGCATGCTCAAAACCTGACATTTAGCTTTTGTTTTTAATTCAAGTGTTCCTTTTTGTGGGCCAGACACGAAATCAACAAGTCATTTAATTTACTGTTTGCCTCCTAATTTGTATTAATAACCAACAAAAAGTAATCAAAATGGCCATTAAAAACCAATATTATAACATTCTTGTGTAGAAATGTATGCACACTTTTCAACAAACTACACGTTAACACAAAAGTCAAATAGAGATACAAGATACTTTGGGAAAGATTACTTTTTGACAGTTTTCTTTGCTCTGTTCTCCACAGATGAACTGCTGTCTTGCCTTAATGCAAGTGGGATTGTGCTTCGCTCCAATTACTCAATTCTCATTATTTCACTGGTTATGTTAAATTATTGGCTGAGTTTTGAGAACTGCTATTTCTTAGGCTAGCTAGTTTTTGTAAGTGCTGAAATATTTTGCGTAACAAAAAAAAAAAAATGCAGATAAACTACAGTAAATGAACAATCTTTTCTTGAGTTTTTAAAAGTGATTTATTTTCTATTTGTCTGACAAGTAAAACCAAGTCTCTATGTAAGCCAGTAGATCTTTGTACACAAAAGGTGCTCCTGTTTATGCTATTTTTTTTTAAATTAATTCAAACTGATGTCTGGTGACCCAGTGACACATCAGTATGTGCTTATACTGTACACAAGTCTGCATCTCAGAATCAGCTGAATATTTACTGCATTGCTATTAGGAATATTTGCGACATCTTCCACCTTTTACTTGTGACTCTGAAATGATTTCCTTTTTTAGCTCAAAGGTGCTTCACTTGTGTAATAATTTTACACCCCAACTAATCTATATTGTTGCCTGTTGAGTGACAGTTTAGTCACATCAGGCACCCATCAAAAGTAAAGCATGAGATGTACTTAAACTTTGAAGCTGCTGAGAAAATACAATTATTATTCTTAATTTGCAAATAATAAAATCCTCTGGAAATCATTGATGCATTCATTGTATTATTCAGTGAAGATCATATGATCGAAAATAAAACATGCTCCATCTTGTTGTTGACTGATTTTCTATTTATATATGTTTTAATCAATCAATAGAGTTGAAGGCCTAGCATCTCTTGAAGGAATGCATGTCACCTGCTACCTTTCATGCCAAAGGTGTACAACAAATGATTAATTCATGCAAGTTTCAATAACATTTATCCAGTGGTTCATGAAATATTTTGCTAACAGACAAAAAGCATTGACTCCCACAGTACCGGTAAATGCTAAAGTTATGATCATATTTCCTGTGCAATGAGCCGCACTTGAAGTATATGTTGTGAATGACTCAACATTGCTCAGAGCAAGTGCACTTACTGTACAAGCTGTTTCAGAGTTTAAGATCTGTTGTTGTAAAAGAATATCCAAGAAGTTACTGTTTTTACTGATGAAAAGGAAGAGATGAGCGATGCCTTAGAAGAAGTGGGTTCATTTTATCCTCAAAGTTTGGAAAGTTTAGGATTGCCCTGGAGCTGCACCAACACAGTGTGGATATCTAAACCTTAGGTTGACTTGGGAACAATTTGACAGCCCATTAGTCTGATGAGTTGAGACGCCCAGAAACTTACCACATCCTCTGTGAAATAAACTTAAGAAGTGCCATTAAAACTTCCTAAATGATAGCTGGTTCTTGTCAACAGAGCAGTTTTAGAGTTTAACAGACATAATTAATGGTCCTGTGTTCTTTCAACTACACAATTTATAACCAATCCTGTGTGTCTTAAAGTTTGTAATCTGGATCTGTCAGTTAAGGTTTATAGTACAAGTCTCCCGTTGGGTGATTGCCTGCAGTCTGGATTTTTATGAACACAGACTGTGTGACAAAACCCATTTTCAAAAGAGGGTATAGAACACACAACAAACAAAGAAGACAATGAACTAGAGTTAATTTAAATGCATGTTTAATCCATTGACACCACAAAATGTATGTTTACATTCAATAGTCAGATTGAATATGACTTTTCCAGTAACAGCACGGCCTGGCATAACACAAAGAATAATTTGTATGGGGCAGCATAATGGTGCAACTGGTACAGCTGCTGCTCCTCAGTGAGCAGGTTACCCTCGTTCAAATCCCGGTCCGGGGACCTTTCTGAGTGCAGTTTGCATGCTTTCTCCATGCAATTATATGATAACATGGCCTGCCATACTTCCACTAGCCGCACACAGCCATTTCACCGTGAGCTGATTGGCCTTGAAAAAGGTAAAGAGTTCAGTTAAGCTTCAGATGGTACTATACTACCAGGAAGCGATCCATCGCACAAATGAACGTTCATTCTGCTGCTGCACTCAGCGACGAAACAAACAGGTGAGATCCCAAAGCAGACGTGAATCAGAGCTGTCTGCGTGTCTCAGTAATTCAGAGGAATGCAGGCAGAAACGGGTATACTTTTTTTTTTTTTAATGGCCGTGAAAGTACAAACACCTCTTAGCTCCGAATCTTCTGCCGCTTTTTTCAGCTGCACGTCCCCGACCGTTAATAACTAATTAAAAATGTTAGTTTTATTTCTGGGTTCGGACCTGTAATTACTGTTAATTCATCAGGTCGGTGGGGTTCGGAAACTATGACTGCGGGCTGGGGCTGGGTCGAACCAGATTTTTTGGGCCCGAATGCAACTCTACCGTGCATGCCTGGATTTTCTCCAGGTACTCCAGTTTCCTCCCACAGAACAAAAACATGCATGTTAGGGTGTTTCACACCTGCTTGTCCGGTAGTTTCAGTTCAATTTGGGACCAATATTCTGAACATTTGTTTACATTTCAGCTGGTGCAGTTTGCATTCACAGTGCACAGTCAATTGAGCCAACCTGCCTAAGAACTTTCCTTCCCTCCATTGATTACGGTGACATTATTTACATGAACGCTCCTACAAGAACCCTGCAGATGTTGGATGCTGTCTATCATGGTGCACTAAGATTCATAACTGGTTGTGATTATCGTACCCACCACTGCACCCTGTATTCACTGGTTAACTGGTCACCATTAACTTCACGCAGACTCTCCCACTGGTACATTTTCATCTTTAAATCACTTCTTGGTCTGCTGCCTTCATACATCTCCTCCTACACGTCTCTGCATGAGTGCAGCTACAGCGTGCGCTCTCATGACATTATTACCTGCAGTGTTCCCTCAGTGAGGACTGAACTAGGCAAAAGGGTCTTCTCGTACTCCGCTCCTGTTTCCTGGAATATTTTACAAAAATATTTGAAGCTCTCGACCTTGACCTCTCTAAGTGGCTTTAAGAATCTGTTGGACTACTGGCAGGGACCAATGCAGACATGTTCCTGTTTTTAGTTTTATACATTCGCCTTAGAATCTAGATGCTTTTTTTTTTTTGGCTACATTTTTTGCCATCTTATTTTAATTTGTAAAAAAAAATCTGTACGCCTCTTTTATGATTATCTATTGTTGTCGTCGTTGTCCATTGTTGTCATCATTCTTTGTTGAAATCAGGTCTCCCTTGTAAATGAGTCCCCGAGGCTCAATAGGATTAACTTGTCTAAATAAAGCTTGAATGAATGAAAAAAAGAAGAGAATGTTGTTTTTCACACAAGGCGGCTGACGGCTCCGTGTGAGGTAAGAGAAATGTGCATTTGTTTGCCATGCGCTGTACTCCACTTCCTGCTTTAGGAGCGGTCTCCGCTCAGCTTGTATTCACACTGCATCCGAACCGTGCTTAAGTTCACTTCAAACGAACCGAGACCTAGGTTTATAGGCAGACCAGAGTTTGCATTTTTTGGTCCTCATCAGAGTTTGATTGTGCGTTCACACCTCTCCAAACGAACTGGACTTTCTAGGCAAATGCACTAGAGTTCGATTAAAGCGAACTAAACAGGACTGGTGTGAATGCACCCTTATGCCAAATGGTAACTCTAAATCGTCCTAGCTGTGAGTGAGAGAGTGAATGATTGTTTGTCTCTGTGTCCCTGTGATGGACTTGCGACCTGTTCATGGTGTACCTCGCCTCTCGCACAGTGATGGCTGAACATGGGCACCAGTGACCCTCGCAACTCAAAAAGGAAGAAGTGGGTGAAAGATGATGAATGGATGAATGATTTGTATGTATGTTTCTAGCAACAGTTCAGAAGAACCAACCTTCTTGTTGAGTATTGTAACAAAGAAGGTGAATTTTTTTTTGTGTTTATCACAGTCAGCAATACTTGTTCTTTGTGATTTACAGAGTTGTTTATTCTGGTTAAAACACAAGCCAGTCCTGATGCAACTTTATGTTGGCAGAGCCTTTTTAAGAGGAGGCTGAAAGATGTAAATATAGAGTAACTGCAAGGTTTAAGCAAAGTCTGTGTGTCAGAAAAAAAAAAAAAAAGAAAAACACTTTCCACTGATTTTACAGTTTGTAAAATTGTCTGACAATGGTCACTTTTTATGGCATCTTTGTTAGATGAATATACTTAACATCTTTGTAATGTCCTCAGTTTGAGCCAAATTCAATGGACATACTGTATCTGGACAAATGCCAGGGCTTTGGTGCTCATATGACATATTAGTATGATGAAAAAAAATCACAAGGCAACTGGTAGAGCTGCTGCCTCTCAGCGAGCAGGTCCTTGGTTCAAACCCCGGTCCAGGGGCCTTTCTGGGTGGAGTTTGCATGTTCTCTTCGTGCATGCGTGGGTTTTCTCCGGGTACTCCGGTTTCCTCCCACAGTCCAAAAACATGCATGTTAGGCTGATTGGTAACTCTAAATTGTCCCTAGGTGTGAGTGAGAGAGTGAATGGTTGTCTGTCTTGTTTGTCTCTATGTGGCCCTGTGATGGACTTGCGACATGTCCAGGGTGTACCCCGCCCCTCGCACAGTGATTGCTGGACATGGGCACCAGCGACCCCCGTCACCCAAAATGGAATAAGCGGGTAAAGAAAATGGATGGATGGATGAAAAAAAATCACTTCCATGAAGTTCTTAATCTCTTGTTAAACATTAACCTTTAACATTTATTGGCAGATAATGAATGCTACGCCTAATTATGCAACTTTTTTTCCATATTGTATGTCTAGAAACTTAACTTAACTTACTTGAGCACTGTTTCAATTTGTAATACAGGAAGCAACCAACAAACCTGACAATTTAAACTT